ACACACTCTGAGTGAAGGGTCAGTCAGAGCCTGGTTCTTTGTCCTATTAATATTTTTCTGAGACCTCAGCCAAGTCACTTTACCTTTCAAGATTCACATCGTTTCAAAAAACATATCAAAATTTTGAAAGCAGACTGTCAATGAAAGCACAGCAAGCTCTTTCACTATAAGGTTTCAAAGAAATCCAAATCATTTGTCACAATCTGATCTGAGAACAGACTTTAAATTCAGGGGATGATTTAAACCAGTAATAAGCTACCCATCATCAGAAGATTTTGGTATATTATCCTCTGATTTCGATTCCTATAGCGATTCAGACATAAAAGTTCCTTCAAAAACAAAGAAAAAGTTCTCTTTAAACTACAATCTTCTCACCATCAGAGGGAAGTGGTAGAAGTGTTAATGTCTTTTGCATGGGTTGGTACACAACCTATATTTGAGTTAGATGAATGGTAGAGAATAAGAAGAAAGGGGAGGGCCAGCCGAGTGGCTCAGATGGTTAAGAGTGCAAGCTCTGAGCAAGAGGGTTGCCGGTTCGATTCCCACATGGGCCAGTGAGCTGCGCCCAAACTGAGCTGCCACTGAACTGCCAACAGGTGGCAGGATGGCTCAGCTGGTGACAGCACGTGCTCCTAACAAGGTTGCCGGTTGGACTCTTGCATGGGATGGTAGGCTACGCCCACCCGCAACTAAGATTGAACACGGCACCTTGAGCTGAGTGGCTGCAAGCTGCCATTGGGCAGCAGGATGGCGACTGGACTTGGAGCTGAGCTAGGTGTGCCCTTCTCAACTAAGACCAAAGGACAACAACTTGGCAATTCCCCTTCCCCAATTCCCCAACACTGTTCCCCTTCCCCAATTCCCCAATAAAATCTTAAAAAAAGAAGAAGAAGAAGAAAGGGGAGAAGACAGGCAGAATGAGGTGGCCCCTGGAGAAGATGGAACAAATCATTACAACTCTAGAGCACCATGATGTCCTTTTTGTTTCCTCCTTGCAAAGGAAGCAGTTTATTAAATATGTTAAGGAGAATCCTGTTTTGATGTCACCTATCCTTTGATGTCACCCTCAGAGATAGTGAAACATGGGTATGCCTGCCTTGGAGAAGCAATTTTTATGTTCTTACATATAGCTATGGAACCCGATCATGCTCCCCTCCTGTGGAAAGACTGGTGATGTTAGGTAAAAAAAAAAAAAATCTCACCACCCAATTTCCCACCGGCCTTGGTTCCCATAATACTGTGCTAGGCCACAATTTAGAACTTCTCACCATTGCATTCCAATAATTGACTAAGGTAGCTGCATCCACTAATAGACCAAGAAATTGTTAAGAGCAGGGATTATATCATATTAATTTTTTATGTCTAGGACCTGGCACAGTGCCTAGCTCCTAGAAATACTCGAAATATGTTTATAAACTAGCAAAGGTATCATTGTTAACCTCTACAAAGAACAGCTGTGGAAGGCTGGAATCCCTACAAAGACCGGCAAACCCCTCACTACCTCTGCTTCTCCAGTTGGTG